CGGCTGGCCCCAGCAGCCAAGTCCAGCTGGCCCGCCTCTGTCGCCCCCACTCCTGGCAGCCTGTTAAAGCTTCAGCTCGTTGGCTATTTTGGAGGCAATGTTTTTGAAGGCCATGGAGGTGCCTGATATCCGCTTAAATCGCACCCCGTTGAGAGACAGCCGTGGCAGTTTGCACACCTCCATCTCCCACTGCACAAAGTTCTCGTGGCCTGGCGTGCCGTGCATGCACAGCAGCATGTACTTCTCGTGCAGCTCGCTCTGGCAGCTGTTTGCGTCCAGCACCTTGCGGATTTCCCGCATCATCTCGTTGGGCTCCATGGAGCTCGTGGTCTTCATGCTCCACGTGAAGCGTAGCGAGCGTGGCTTGGCCTCCCGGAACTCTTCCTTCTCTTTGTCATTGCCTCCACTGCCCACCACGTGAGGTCTGTGGAGAGGGCAGAGGCCAGTGTCAGGTGTGGCGCTGAGGCACCCCACCCACAGGATAGCCACCCTGGCAGACAGACCCTGAGACCAGAGAGGAGAGCGGAGGGAGCATGGCAGCCAACAAGGCTGGCAGAGGGGCAGCCAGACCTGGGCCAGGGGTGGCGAGGGGCAGGGGTGGGCACTTTCCACCACTTGGGGTAGAAAAGGTGAGGCCAAGCAGCCCCAGGTGGGGTGGAGCTGACAGTCCCATGCTGTCACGGTTCTTTTCCTTGAAGAGGGGAGGGTCAGGGGAGAATGAGTGCACCCAATGGCACAGAGCAGGCTCTCCAGGAAGCAGCAGCCAAGGCGCAGAAAGGTAAGAGTTGAGGGCAGGAGGCTGTAGCCCCCAGGGCCCAACAGGGCTGACTTCCAGAATGCGCCAGGTCTGAGATGGTTTGTAACTACTGCCCTTGGGTTGGGAAAGGGGAATTCTCCAAGAAAGGGAGGCCCCAAGAGGGTGGGGACAGGGCAGAGCCACCAGAGGAAGAGCCAAATGGCAGAAGAGAGGAGCAGGAGGCTTATGACAAGCCTGGTGGCCCGGGCAGGGCCAGTGCTGGCTCCGGCCCTCTCACCTGAGCGTCTCCACTCGATCTTTGCTTTCAGGTTCATTCAGGTTCCTCAAAAAACAGAGCGAGGGAGAGTTTAGTGCTGGGATCTCTCGCTCCTTCCACCGCTGCAGACCCAGATGAGGGTGGGTCTGAGGAGGTGCCACCAGTGGGTGGGCAGGACCCAAGCCCAGAGGCCACTTGCCCATCACCTGGCAGGCCAGTATGGCTCTGCAGCACCTCACATTGGCAGCTCAGCTGTCCCTTTCCAACAGGAAACCTGGCACCTGGGGCCGGGCACCTCACACTCCCAGGAATCTGTGGTAGGGAGAAGCCTTGAAGCCTTGGCTCTGGGGGCGGAGGGGTGTGGCTGTGCAGCACATGTACTGAGCACACGGCCAGGAAGAGGCAGCCCCCTCACCAGCTCGCACCAGGGCTCGTGCTCAGCACTGGAGTGAAGGGCTGTGAGTGGGCAGGGTCTCAGGACTGCAGTCAGTCCTCTGGGAGGGACGGGCTGTGATGTTTTGGAGCTCTGTGACAGAAGGGGCTGGGGGAAGGCAGAGCCCTCTCTCAGGAGGTTGAGAGCACCTAGACTGGAACAATGGGGAGAATACCTAGGGGGTGCCTGCTATTGAGTGGAAACGGCTGCCTCTGTTGTTTTACGATTCCCTACCTGCTGGCCTGTCGGGTCATCTGCTGGTACAGAAGGGAACATGGACGGCAGGGAAGGGCAGGGCAGGGTGGGTGGGGAAGAGGTCTGGCCCCTCTGAGCGGCTTCTCCAGCTCCTGGCTGGAAGATGGGTGCCTGGAGCCAGGATATTGGGGACTGTATAGGAGGGGAAGGATGGGAGGGATGCCAAAGGAGAGAGAGCAGCAGCAGCACATTTAAAAGGAACACAAAGACACAACAGACACATGAATGCAAATAAGCACACTGCGAGCAGGGAGCCCGGCTGTGCAAGGGGAGGTGCCCTCAGCTGCTCTCTCCAGGCCCTCTGTACTAGGGTCCCTTGAGGCAACAACCAGCCATACAGTGAAGGGCTGAATAGGGAGGCTGGGGGATGGGGAAGCCTGAAGATCCTGTCTGGACAGCTTCCCCATCAGTGGTGACACCAACGTGCCTGCCTGGTATCCCAGCCCCAGGCCTGGGCTGACAGCCTTGAAGAACCAAGGCCCCTAATCTGGCCCTTGGTCTGTAGCTTGGTATTTGGTCTACCCAGGCCTACAGAGAGGATGAGTGTAAGGCCAGGGATGAAAGAGCCAGGAAGGGGGATCTCTGACCTGGGAGGGTGCCAATTTCCCACTATGCCAGGGTGGTCCCTGACCTAGACCATCCCAGCTCCTGGCTCTCTGGAAGCCATAGGTCATATCCAGAGAAGAAAATCCAAAACAGCAGAGGCTGATGAATCTAGATGCTGCTGGAGACAGGTGTGCTGGAGCCTGGGTAGCACCAGGATTAGTTCCTGTGGAGTTGCCAGGAGGGGGTGCTGTGCTCTATTTGTGAAGCAAAGGCTTCTTGGGCCTGGAGGAGTCAGACTGAAACCTTGAGACCCCATGTCCCTGTAGTACCTCCAAAGTCCTGCTATTCCATAGGCAAAGGGGAAGAGGTCACATAGCCTTGAAGTTCAGGAAGCCTGGGAGACCCCGTACCACCCCAGATGCACTTTTAACCCCAATGGAACCTCCTCACAGCGCATGCACATGTCAAGGGAAAGGGCCAGAAAGGGAACCCAATGCTTGTGACCAAAATCTGGGGTGGGGGTGAGGGGTGAGAGGAGACAATCTTAAAGGGAGAATTCCCTGAGGAGGTCTCCTCTTGGAGAGGAAAGGCATCACTGTGGGCTAAAGAAGGCCCTTCACTGCCAAAGCCATCTGCCCTGAGTGGGCTAATGTCTCCTCTCGGGGCCACATACTCCCAAACCCTGCCGGTCTGTAAGAGGTCAGGGAGGGTGGGCCATGTGCTAAAGCCCGGTCAGAGACGGTCTTCATCCCTTTAAGATGCCAGGGAGAGGAGGGCCACACAGACAGGTTAGCAGATGGAGGAGGGAGCAAGAGCCAGAGAAGGGGAGTTAGTGATGGAGGCAGGACACAGGACAGACACACACACACACACACACAGTGGGCTCAACGCCTACCTTCTGGCAAACCTGAAAGACAGATTTCTAAAAAAAAAAACAAACAAAAAAAAGACAAAATAAAAAAGGAAATAAAAAAAAAGAAACAAAACAAAAACCAACAAGACGGTATGTGGATAAGCAGGTGGGAAGTGGGCTTAACAGGTTCGTGGGTCACCCCATTTTTGAAGAGCCGCTCAGCGAGACTAGAGTCTCAGACTCCCACCCTCTGCAGCCCCCACACTTGCATCCTGGGGCCTGAGTAGGGCAGTGGCTTTGGCTACTCCAGCTGAGTGGCATGAGATGCAGGAGGAAAGGCAAGGGAGCCTGTGCTCTTAGTCCTTGCCGCTTCCTGAGCTGCTACTCCAGGGTGGGGTTGTGAAAGGCTGGGATGGAGACAAGGAGCACCCTGGAGGCCAGGTGGCTAAATGCACCTCAAGCTGTCCCTTTGTGGTAATTGGGGGCTCAAATGTGAGAAACCCCATGAAGAGATCCCCACCATGGTCCAACACGGTGCGGGACTGCGAGGGAGGAGGCCGCTGTGGGCGCTCTCCAGCTACTTCCTTTATGGCCTGCTTCCTGGGAACCCCTGAGTGAAGACCATGGCTGCAGCAGAGGGGAGTGGTTGCAGCTGGACATAAGCAACTGGCTGGGGGAAAAGGAGGTCAAAGGGGCAAGACATGAGATTGAGAAAAAATTTTCTTGCCAGCCCAGCCTGGCTCATGTCTCATGACTTTGCAGCTGCGTCACCAAATATAAGTTTCCATGGGAACCCAGGAGGGAAGAGGGGGGCTTTTATTTTAGCATCTGAGTTCACACTCTCCTAGAGAGGAGGCGGCATCGGCCATCTGCTTGGGGCCAGAGAATGAGGGGTGCCTGTGAGGAGCTGGAAGAGGCCTAGAAGGATGGATCTGGGCACACAGGTGTTGTCAAAGACCCAACTTCTTAGGTTTCCTGACGCCTCTTCTAACCCCAGGACCCAGTTCCAATTCTGGGTGTTCCCATCCCCACCCCCAGGCAAGTGGGAAGGCCTGGCCTCAGCTCTCTTCCACCCTGAGCTCCCTGCTCACCTGCGTACAAACTTGGAGGTGAACTTGCTGAAGATGCTCCCAGAAGCCCCCCGCCGGCCCTGGCTGTGGCCAGAGGGAGAGGCTGGGGTCACACCGTAGGGCAAATTCTGCTGGTCCCGCACCTGTCGGAGCTGCCCTGCATGGAAGGTGCTTCGACTGGACACACCCCGGGGAAAATTAGTTCGGTCTGGGGCTCCACCACTGCTGCTGATGTTGTGGGCGGAGGGGGAGGCGACAGGGACACGCTGGGGGGCTGTGCTGTGGGAAAAGAGGTGGAGGTGAGGGGAACGTATCAGGGTACAGGGAGGCCAACACCACCAAGCACCTAGAGCGCCCTGTGGTGGGGACAGGGAGGGGATGCCAGGGCAGAGGCAGCCATCACAGAGGACACAGAAGGAAGGGTGTGACCACTGAGGACAGCGGTAAGGAGGAAGTCTCGTGGAGGTGGAGGGAGATGGTTTAGGGAGGTGGGAAGGCAAGGAAAAACCCGTTTATGAGCAGTGCTGGCTGGAGAGAGTTGGCTCGCTGGGAGCCGGGCAGACTGGATCCTCACGGATGCTGGCCGTCCCCAGGCTCCCTAAGGAAATCCAGTAAAGTTCAGAACCAAAAGGCTTCCCTTTGGAGCCTCAGGACAGCTTCCTGCATACCTAAGTGTTCTGAGAGGGAAAACTTGAGGACAAGAAGGGAATTAACCCTATTTTTTACTCCCTCCATTTCCTGGTAGCAGGGGACAGAGCCATTTCTTGTGGCTAAGATGATAAGAACAGAGCAGGATCCCCAGGTGGGAAAAAGAAATTGCTGGGGGCAGGGGGTGGGGCAGGCTGAGGACAGCAGGTGCACCAGCTGCCCCAGCACACTTGCCTGGGCCGCGGCACCTCACAGTTACTCTCCGTGGGGGGCAGCCCAGAGGCCTTGTTGGGGTGCACGGAGGCCGACATGGATTTCTGGTGCTGGCGGGGCCGGGCCGCAGAGACTGCGGCGGAAGCAGAAGCCGTGGAGGCCCGGGACCCTGGCATGGTTAGGCTAGGAGACAAAAGCAGCGGAAAGGCCCAGGTTAGGGGGTGGTGAGGGCAGGAGGCCTGGATTATGAAGTAAGGGCTGGGGAAGGGCCAGAGCTAGGGAGCATTGGTGGGACGCAGGTTAGGCCCAGGGAGCAGCAACAGATGCAAGTCAGCTGAGGAAGGCAGGGAGGGGAAATGGAGGGCAGGGTGTGGGGGCAGCGAGGTAGGCCAGAACCTGGGAAGAGGAAATCAAACAGGAGCCCATTGCTTCCAGGCTGCACCAGTCTCCTAGGAATTCTAAGAACAAAGATGTTTCTTCTACAGAAAGAGAGGGATGTTAAGGGGAAACTTTGCTTAAGCTCAGAAGAGGTGGAGCCAGGAACATAACACATCAAGGAATGCTGATGGTCAAGGCTGGGGAGCTCTGCTCTCAGGAGCACAGCTGGAGTGGCCCTCAACGTGTACAGCCCATAGTGGGCATCTCTTGGCTCTGCCCTGAGCTGGGGCCCCAAGAGCAAAGCATTAGACACTGATGCCTGGAGGAGGGGAGGCGCCATGCCCTGGGGGCAGTCAAGAAGGCAGCTGGGGTGACCATCAAGAATAACATACT